CACCTTTACTATAAAGTCGAGCAAACAAATAATTGTTTTTAGGTGTTTATCTTGTTAAATTTTGAAGAAATGAATAGCGGCTCGTCCCTCTGCGTGTGCACGCTTACGCAAATCGGGTTTTGAAATACAGATGATTTGACCGTCAAAGTGCATTTATTAAGCTAAAGTTAGACTGAGACACACCTTTGCTATAATTTCAAGCAAACAAATAATAGTTTTTAAATGTTAATCTTGTTAAATTCTTGTTAAAATCCTCACGTGCACGCTCCCGCGGCCGCCATCTAGCAGTCCATCGATTTTTGGCACAACACGGGCCCACTTTTCTGGGTTGTCAGTGGTGACGCGAAACAAACGCGACACATCAGTGACGCATAATAGATGTGATGTATACGGCAAAGCGACATATTTATGGATTTTTCCACTTTATTAGACAAATATGGACTGATGTGACTTCAATTCAATTCAGTTCAATTCAAAAATACTTTATTAATCCCAGAGGGAAATTATATAGGGCTTATATTATATATTAATTATTATTATATTATATTATTATATATTATATTAAATAGGACTTATAGTGCGGTGTGACTTTTGTGGTAGAAAATACAATAATTTAACTGGAGACATGAGATTAACAGTTGAAACAAGCACAATCTAAAGAGTAGCTCAGTTAATTTTGAATATAGTTCAATAAAAAAACTGTAATTTGATGTGAACCTTTCAAAACACCTGAAAACCATGTGCCGAGTGTTTTCTCACAACAGGGGCTAAATATTGCTAAAACAACTGTGAGGTGAACGGATGCTGCTAGTTGTGTCGGAGTTAAATGTCAAACCACGCTTTATTACGAGCTGCCACTCACACGTACACCACCAGGACCACCTGACAGGACATATAAACACACACACTCGAGCGAGCGTACACACACACATGCCCACCACTCAGCCCTCATTCCACAACGACACAGGAAGTCACAAGGGTGACCCATTTCAGCAGAGCTTTTACTTTGTTTGGTCTCTGTATAGATGTGAAAAAAAAAAAAGATTCTTGTGTTAAAAATAAAAACCAAGAGAGGCAACATTTATCATCTACCTCGTTGATTTATGGTGCTAGAATAACTAGTTTCCCCCTGAATTTTAGTGACAAAAATGGACCAGCTGCAGATTTGTTGTAAAAATCTGTTTGTTGTAAAACAAAGATCTGAAGATGAGCAGAAAGATGGTACACGTACACACTGCAAACCTTTGCGCAATAGATCAGTGTGAATGAAAGTAAAGCTGTTTAAGGCCTGAGTGTTTCCAGAGGCCTTCTTTCATTCGGCTCGTAGATGATGTCGCTGATACCACGTCACATTCCACAACCTCGCATGACTCAAATCTGGAGCGGCGCTGTGTGAATTTTAGTGGTATTTATGCAATCAAAGCTTATCTAAAGTTGTGTTTTGCTGCTTTCGAAATCAGATATTTCAGCACAGGTAAAAAAAAAAAAAGTTTCACTGTGAAGCATCATTATGAGAAAGGAAACCAGTTGTTTATGGTGCTATGACAGCTTACAGCCTAATAACCAAAAGCAACCTAATTATTTTATTTAAAAGATGGGTTTAGTGAAAACTCACAAGCTCTTATGCCATCCATCCATCCATCCATCCATCCATCCATCCATCCATCCATC